GGGGGGGGCTATTACTTTAAAACTTGCACTGTATTCCCTATCAGATATTTATTGACTGGTTTACACTGTACAGAACAGGATTTGAGTAAATCAGCATGCTGTAAATTTGCCTTTTTAACAGGTTTATTGCTTTAGCAGGTATTCACTTAGGATTTCACTGCTCCATCATAAAACATTTCCAGGCGTGTAATACATTTTTGAGCGAGATAATATACTGTATAGACCAAGGTGTGCACATCAGCTGTCATGTGCATATAAGCAAAATAAGAAAAGATGTGTTCTCCTGCAGACCCCAACAATCTTGTGCAAAAGTACTAATTTCAACTGCAGTGCATTAATGGAAGGCAGAAGGAAGATACTGCATGACCTAGAGGGCATGAAAGAAGAGCATTACCATTTTATTTTCTTCAAAGAGGGGAACATCTCAGCAAAGGCACAATCTGAAACCCACTGACTCCAGGAAAATTTCATCAAAACTGAAAAATTAATAATCGTCTTGTTTTGTTTCTCTTTCTCTTCCTGTTTTTGCAAATAACACGTTACACTGTCCTGGCCACAAGATGAGATCTTTCTGTCTGCAGCAAAGATGCCCCTTTATATTTAAGAGTCTGTTGTGGTATTTGTGGAATTAATAATTATGCTAACGGCAATACTTTTTTTTGTTGTTGTAGATGTTTGGATGTCTATAAAAACCACTGGGAAGCAAACAGATCCCTCTTTTAAAGACAAAGTGTCTGTCTTATTTTAACCTTTTTATAAGAAGGTGCCTATTGATAAGACTTTCTCAGAAATTGAAGAATACAAACAATAAACATATGTTATATAAGAATGCTATAAATTACATAAAAATTTTATGCATGAAAGTGATAAGAATTTTTGAATCTGTAAAAAATCTGAAAAATGCTTTTTAAATGTGCTATTCTACCCAATGTATAATCATGTTAAAATGATCTCTTCCTTTTAAACAGCTCTGATCCAAAAGTGTATTCAGGCTTATAAATGCTGATTTTAGTAAACAAAACAAGTTGGGGTTTTTTCTGAATGAATGAAAGTGGTTATCAGGAGTTCTTTAAAAGACGTTTCCTAGTATAAAATCTTGCATCTCAGTTGTTTACGAGGTCAGTTCGCACTTCAAAAAACATTTCAACAAGCTTCTAAAATGAATGCTTTCTGTGCTATCCAAGTTCAAAACAGTTGTAGGTATACCTACCAAGTGCAGCCACTTACAAGGGGATTTTTTTTCATTTTTTCAGCCACTCAGCAGATACCCACCTTTGATCAATGACATCTCCTTTTGGCTGCCTTCTGAGACCTACTCTAAGAATGATTTCTATGATTTGGCTCGAACCGTTGGTGGAGACCTGATAGAAAAGGTTGTCCTAGTGGATGAATATACCCATCCAAAGTAAGTAAAACGTTTAACACATTCTTCCTGTGGTCAGAATATAAATATTTTGTCAATATTTTAGTTTTGTATACCAAGAAATCCTTGATTCTTTCAGTCAGCACATTTCATTTTTTAGCTCCAAAACATTTGCACAACACCTTCAAAAATAAATATTTTTACTTTAAAATGTTATCTTGTATTTCAGTTTTGTACTAGTACTGAGTTTCTGGTATTCAGACCACAAGTCCAGTGTGTTGTGCTCAGTTAATCACAGCAGCAGTGAACAACTGCCTTCCTCAACACGTCTGCCAGAGCGTGACACTCTTAACCATAGCATGTCTGATATTCTAGTCCTACTCTTCACTCAGTGGCTGGCGTTTGTCTCCTTGTTCTCGTCCTTTCTTTTTCTAGTCCTGATTCACTGGTAGACCTTTACTATAAATGTCAGGGCTAATAATGATTTGTTACAGAATACTATTGTTGGTGTTCAACAGAGACAAAAAAACCCAAATTTTGTTCCTTTCTTTCTGACACTTATTTATGCTGTTGACATCTCTCAGGCTTCAGAATACCTTCTTATAGATATAGAAGCACTGACATGACCATTGTGTGCACAGGTTACTTGTCCAACTGATACTATTAGTTGTATCAAAAACTGAAAAGTACCAGCTATTACATGCTGTTTCCAAATGAAGTACTAAATATGCTGCTGGCTACCCAACTTTCTAAAACTGGGGTTTAAAATCATTTCTCTTCCTTGAGATTTTTTTTTCTAGTACCATAGAAAGGCAGGTAGTAAACCTAACTGCAGTCTTTTTTGAAGATGATAGGAAAATGCTTCATGTTGTGTTCCAGCACCTATAGATTATATTTTTATTTCTATATCCAGGTGTTTGACCCTATTGTTCTTTTGAATTTGATGTGTGTTGCAGACCAGATGGATAGATTATTCTATGACCTAGTTTTCATGGTGGTTCAGTGGGTTAACATTTATTTGGGTTTTTTCCTTTTTACCCTTTCTGTGTGGTGTTATATGAGACTGTTACCACTGTGTAAAGAAACAGAAATATCATTGGAATTTGTGTGGGCATCTGAATGCTTTGAATAATTAATTCTTGAGTGGTCTTCACGTGCAAATCATGTGACATGATCTTAACCCTATACTCAAAACAATGTGTCCAGCAGAGGAATATAGGCCAGAATAAGATAGTACTAATCTTTGTAAAGAACAATGAAACTGGATCTTGCAGAGAAATTCAAGTTTCTTGCAGGTATGGATAACTTCTTATTGTATTGGACTGCACCATTGTATCAGTTAGCACAAGTGCATAAGATATTGAAGGCTGCTCACACAGGTTGTGCTGAAAATATATTTAATTGTTTTCTATCATGATGGTTCTGATACTGTAAAAATAAACATTTTTCGTAAAAACTGGGATGTTGGACCCATTTTTTGGAACTGGTTCTTCCAGTTCCTTCATTCTGAATGTTTATTTTATGTATAACACCTCTGTGTTCATTGCCATTTTTTGTATACATTCTTCCCGGTAGTACTAACCATGCAGTCATCTTTGTTGTTACATCTTCTCTTGGGGGGAAAATCCTGGGTTTAGTGTAAGCAGAAATTCCAAGGCTGAAGGTTTGGAGAAATCTTGTTCCCTGTTCCCTCAAACAGAGGCAGTATTGTTCTGTGATTACTCTAGCAGTTTACTGGAGGAATCCGCAGGCACTGGGAGGACCTCGCCAGCAGCACTGCATCAGTCATGGCTCAGCTCATGGGTCATGGTTCTCTTTACTAAGAATATTATCTTCCATACTAGTAGAGTGGTGGGGTAGGGACAGGATTTGCTATTCTGGATTTCTGCTGTATGTGTTTCCTCCTTTGATATGCTTTGACACATGGTGAACATATACCAGGGGTGGCAGTTGTTCAGTACAAGATCATTTCTTCCTCTTCAAGGAATACACCTCTGTTCCCTCTGTGACTTCTGGAAATAGATGGAAAAGATGACTGCTTCCTGAGAATTGTCACACAGATTTAGGACTTTCCTATTATTGTCCTCTAACGCCATTAAACCTTCACTCAGCAGACATCCAAATATGTTTTCACACTGCAAGGAGGAAACATTTCTCACCTTGGTGTCTGAAGAATTTGGGTGGTGACACTAATGGATTTTTAGTAAGTGATGTTGTAGTCCTCTTAGTTTGTTCAATTGCAACAACAATAAAAGAAATCTTTTAAAATGCCCCATTAAAAACGAGTAATTCCAAGGAGATTATGTACTTATTTAAAAAGATTAAAAATATAACATAATGGTTACTTTGCCCTTTCTTCTCAGGACAGGGTGTGTGCAGATATGTAACTTTTGCAGATTGATGACGTAAGCCATTATAAATCATTTTGTCTGTTCCCTAAAGCCTTTGGAAGGTGTTTAAAGGTCTTTGAAGGGTGTTCTGCTTAGTCTTAATCCCGAGCTAATTGTCTTGTTACAGGAACAATACAGTGGCTTCTTTAATTCAGTGTTGCAAAAAAGCCTTTGGACACGGAAATAAACATGAGAGATCCTCAGTGTTTTTATGGATCTGTATGTTACAGATCTAGATGCTTGTAATCATTATCTTTGATTTTGTAGATTATGGTATGGAGAATGGGAGAAGAGTGTATAGGATAGGGAAGCCTGCAGTGCTTCTGTCTTGAATGTTATTTACAAGCAGCTTAATAAATTCATGCTTGTAATTAATCACTTCTAAAATTTAAAAATCAGACTTTTTTTCATCCTTTAAAAATACCAGTTTCGTGAGGAATTGGGACATTTGGTAGTCTTATATTCCTTTTTAAACTACCTTTCTTAGTTATAGGACTATAAAGATTGAAAAACAGAAAATGCTGTACAAATAAAACTAATTTAGAACACAGAAAGAGGTCTTTTAATTAAGGTCCTTTATAGAGGCTGTCTGTGGGATACTGTGTGATACAGACTTTTCTGTGGTTCAGAAAACTTTCAACGTTCCACTGGGGTTCAGACTCATAGCCATGCTCCAGTACATTGCAATTACAGTATGTATTAGCAGTGAAAATATATTCCTCTACAGGGAAAAGGTAAGAGGGGAGAAAAAACATGAGACAAGTAATTGTTTAAACAGGAAGAGATGTCTGGGGGGAAAAAAAAAAAAAAAAAAAAAAAAAAAAAAAGTAAATCTTGATTATCTGCTTTGTAAGGTGATAATGTTGAGACATCTTCCAAGAAAGCACAGGCAATTAAAAGATACAGCAGGAAGGAGTCTCATCACTGAAAAGCACAAATTTAGGAGAATGACAAGTTACTGTGCTTAGGGTAATTAAGAACTGTTCCAGCCTAAATGCATTTTAGGTAAACTTAACTAAACCAGACACAGCATTGAGGTAAACTGACTAATATGTGATGTGTGAAGAAGGCTTTCTAGAAAATAGACTTTTTGATTTTATTTGGTCTGCAAAAATATTTTTTTTCCTTATAGCTGAAACTAATTGTAATGGATGCCAGCCTAGTAGGGCTAGATCAATTGTAAAATGTTTCAGGCAGAAACTTATTTCATACTGCAGTCACATGTTACTTTGAGGTAGGAAAAAAAAAGCATTCCCTATTAGGAAATAATGTGTGAACGGTAGTTAGGACATGTAGGCATTTCAGTACTTAACTCTTGATTTTGTCATTCCTCTAAATTCCTCTTCACCAGTGCAACAGGTAGACCACAGAGAGCAAAGAAATCCATTGCTCTATTCCAAGCAGAGAACTGAATTTTGGTAACTAAGTCGAGGTAGGCTGCTTTTGCGCAAAGTGATTCTGGAAACCAGGATAACTGTAGGGATGCTCAGCAAGAGTCCTCTGATCCACAAGAACTTCCTCCCTGTGCCTTCATCCCAGCAATTCCAAATAGGTCCACCTGCCCCAAACCCTCCTTTTGAGTCAAAAGTGTCAAACTAAATGGAGACCATGGACTTTTCAGGTGTCTGCAATCCCCACACTCCTCTCCGTGTTACCGATGAGTGTTTGCACAAGTTATCACATGAGAGGAGATGGCCTGTGAATCTCAGCTGCCAAGCAGCACTTGGCACACCAGGTAGCTGCTCAGGAGCTTTAGCTCCACAGTCAGACTGTGAAACCTGGGAATAGTAGATCCATGCACAAGGGAGGAGCATCACCTGCATGAGATGTGGCTCTTGCTTTCAGAACATGCATCTGGGGAAGGGAGCAAGTGAGAGACTGAACAGGTCAGAGGATAATTCTGTCAGCTTTTGATAGCTTCCTATCACCTGTAGCATAAAAAGTCATCACAGACCTGTACAACTGAACATGAATAGGAAAGTAAGGCCCACTGTCACCTGATTTTTAGGATATTATTGGAATCTACGTGTTGTATCAGGCTTGTCCTGATAACACAGTCTGGGTGTAACTTCACCCAAGATGAATAATGCAAAACATGGATGTAACACACCCATTATTTAGGTATATAAAGAATAAATCAACAGATATGAAGAAGTAGTTGTGGCTTTGCTGAAAGTCCGAGGAAACAGAGTGAAACTGTGGCAATTATGGCAAGAACAGGAGCGGGGTATCTGTAAGGAAGGCAGAATAGAGAAGAAAGGTAACTTTGCAGTGAGCAAAATGTTTTCCACAGCCCATCCTGTGGATTTAAGCCCTCTCTTTTGATGCATTAGCTGCACATATTCAGATTTTCATACATCTAGTTTGTGGAACATATCTTTCTGTGCATGGTCTGTAAAATCAGTTCACTGTGACTTGCCTTGGGTTGTGGTATGCTGCATGAGCCTTGCAACCAGTCAGTGGAAGGCAGTGACACTGTTTCTGCTACCTGACTGAACTATTTCTTTCAAATCCCTGGAGATCTTTAAGGACCTTTAAGCATTGCTGTGCAAATGCATGATGAGTGAGGATTTGTGGCTGACATTTTTCCCTTTGAAACATTCTAGGGAACAAACATTTGCAAAACCAAAGAGAATATTTTGGACTATATTG